TGATTATTTTCTAATCTTCTTCTAATATAAAGGCACACTTTCACATTCGTGGGTTTAGTTTCATACTGAAATATATTGATTGACTATAAATCTCTCGGCAACTTATACATACATTTTTGTATGGTACGGTTGATCTATTTATGAATTGTCACCACAATTAATACTGGTAAACCAGTAGCCTTTTGGTCAGTCAGACTCAACAGATGCAATTTAAAAGTCTCCATCCAGAGTTTCTGCCTAAATAATGCATTCATCTCTCTCTTTGAGTAGAAGATCTTCCAGTCAGCTTTCTATTTATATGCCCAAAAAAAAAATTGGGCTATTAATCCTATGGAGAGAAAAAACATTCAACTATTAATTCTCACACAATGATGTTATATTTGTTGAACAACCATCTACTCCAAAAATTTAAGCTGTTAGAGATGGATGTAACATAAATATTTATCTAATAATCCCTTCACGTGTGACCCTACTTTCGGTGGTCCATTCATGTGATTTTTTTATTGTTTATTTAGGGAGGAAGCATGATGGAATTCGAACTCAGGACTTCTAAGTTCTGATATTATGTTAAACAATCATCTACTCCAAAACCTTAAAGTGTTAGAGAGCAATATAACATAAGTATTTATCTAATAGTTAACTCTTGGTCCAAGCGATTCTGACCAACGGAACTCCTTGGATTGAAAAAAGAAATGTAAAAATCTAGGTTTTCTCTCTTCTCTCCCTTCTCCACTCTTCAACATGTGAGTTCAGTAGACTTAGGGGTGAAAATATCTGATTTTTCAGATATTTAACTCCTATTTATGCTTTTAATTGTGCGGTCCACATTGCCCCTCACGTTTATTACTTCTGGATCCGATTTTAACCCGAAATTACTTAATTAATTCTCGTTTCCAGTTCAAATTAATTTTATTTAAAATTTAATTTAATTATTAAATTTTTTTATAAATTCCATTTTTTAAGGACCTTTGTGAGGTCATTCGTCACATAATTGTCTCATAAAACATGCAAAAATCTGACTATGTCAGAATTTGACGAAAATTGGCATGGCAACTCAATTTCACAATACGATTCCAACGGTGAGGTCCGTTGCATCATTCGAGCTCTAGAAAAATACTGATTTTAAACCCGCACTTGGGTGTACATATTTTGGATCAAGTCAAACGTCTTATTATCTGATCTTTATAGTACTTAAACAGATAAGGATCCTCCCAAAAAAAATTATGTACCTCACTTAGAAACTTGTTTTTATCAATCCAGGTATAATGAGAATGAATAGTACCAGTAGCTAAATTATTGGCTATATCTACATACCATGATATTTCTGTTATTGCAAAAAGTTGCTAATCTGAAAAGGTTTCTCTAATTGGAGTTGATTCTTCTTTTATAGCATAATTTAGCCTTGACAAGTGATCTGCTACCACATTTTCAACTCATTTCTTGTCTTTAATTATAAGATCAAATTCTTGAAGTAACAGTATTCAATGTAGGAGACGTGGTTTAACATCTTTCTTAATAAATAAGTATTTTGTCTCCTTATCTAATTTATTGCATCACCATTCTCTTCGGCGAGATGTTAGCTACTGAGTTTGAAGTTTAGATTGCTTTAGTGGGAATTGATACTAATTCAAAATATGTACAGAAATTATCATATAAAACAGTCTCCTCTATTAGGGGAGCGTATAAGCTTTGCAGTATGAATTGGAGATGGGCAAGGAGAAACAAATTTCTTTAATCTCTACATGAGAATGAGAATGAGAATGAGAATGGCATAGTCATCTACATAAGCATAAAGACGCAAGAATCCATATCCTACTGTTTTTTTCTCTCTCTCTCTCTACCAGCCCTTGAACCCACAACCAAGTGGTTGAAATTTGAGGTCCACAACCACCAAGCTAGAAGGAAGGCCGGTCATATCCTACTGTTTAGGCCCCTTTGATCTTTCTATAACTAATTGCACAAATTACGTCTATTTAGAGCTGACTTTTTTATCGTGTTCTTTAAAAAATTTAAAAAATCTGTTTGAAGTGATTTTTTATTTTTTTTTTTGTATTAAAATAATTACATGTATGTATAGATTATACATAATAGTTCTCAAAATATGAATTTCAAATTATTTTATGTTACTAATAATATTTTATGAATATAATAAACTAAAAAATTATATAGGAACCCATGATAAAACTCAACAAGTCGTCGCTTCTTGGATTTGCCTAAATAAGTTTTTTTGGGTTCAAAAAATTGTTATATAAGCTGGTAAAAAAAACAAAGTCTTAACAAACCTAACTTATTTTATTCCAAAACTCTTAAAAGTTACCTATTTAAGCTAGTTCCAAAGAAACTCGTTATGTCTCAAATTTTTATTCTTAGTAAATTAAACAATATAAGTCTTTGATCACAACCAAGAATCCAGATATAGGCACAACACAAATCTACTCTTATTAGGACATTAAGTTTTCATGGGAAGCCAACTCCAACTCATAAGATTGGGACCATAGAAAAAATTAGCTATTTATTCAAAGATTTTGAAAGAGAAAGGAGGGGTATCCATAGAGGATTTTTCACTGGAAAGCAATAAGGATTGTAAGGAATCCAAGTGTCACCTGTGACCTGTCAATAAGGTTCCCGTTTCCCAGCAAAGTTGAAAACTTATTTTTCACCAAGTGACCAACTGGATCTCATTATGATTCAAGAGAATGTCAATAGCTGCTCTAGCTTGACTAATAGCATACCAGCAACAAAAATATTGATATTTCTCCCTTATAACTGATGTACACGCTTGGGTGATCGAGAAGCAGCCAGATAGATATAGGAGAAGGGGCGGTTAGCTTAGTAAAGAGAGTATATAGTTACATTTTGTGAATAGTGCCTTGGATATTCATATCAGATACAACATGCATCCCATACTCAAAAATATATTATTAGAAATGCATTGGATATATGTTTTGTTGACTCTCTCAGCAGGTTATTTATGCCCATTTACATCAGTCTTTCTAACTGAAACCATTGAGTTTTGATTCACAGGTTAATTCTGTACTTAGTCACAATGGAATCAGCATAGGAAGTGTGGACTTGGTAGATTTATATGAAGGAATTTAATGATGTGGAGATGGATATTTGTGGGATAGGAATACCTCCCATCATGATACTAATCGATTCAGACCGATCTATTTCATGATAGATGCCCAAGGTGAGCCAGCTCCAAGTCGCAATAGAGGGCCAATGGAAAAAGAGAAAATGGTCTAAAAGCTTGTGAGAGAGAAAGGACATATATCCACATTGATGAGTTTTGTACTGAGCAACCATGATGGTGATAAGGAATCTAATCTCGACTGTATGATGATCATGTAAATCACATGATCAGTTTTCAATTAAATTCCTCACAGATTTGTACCCTTCCTAAATAGAGATGGTCCAATGTACGAGGCTCTCAGAATTGTGAAGTCTGAGGAGGGTCTAACGTACATAACTTTATTTTCACATACTAAGAGGTTGTATCAATAACTCGAACTCTTGAAGTCCAATCAAATTCCACTCTCACCCACCCTGACTATAAGAATGAAAAATGTGAGAGGAAAGACTAAAAAGAATGAAGATTCTATCTATGACTAAAATACTTTACTCAGGGTTCTCATTCATGAGGATCCATAAAACTTTTCCAAATGGCACTATGGGTACAAAGCTTTGCTCCTCTTTTTGCCTCCAGCACAGCATCAGCTTATTAGCTCCTCTTCTTTTCCTTTTCTAATGAATGAAACTTCCAAAAAGGACTAAAATCAGAGAGTAACACATTTTCAGCATTGTTCTATTGGAGCTGAGCATGACATTTGTTTAATTGCTGGTTGCCATAGGGCAAGAATGCAGATTATCTAAGATATAAAATAAGACAGGTTTCAATAAATTCATTCGATGGTTTTAAATAGATTCATCCAATGGCCACCAACATCTCTCTCAAAATTATTCACACTGCACTGTGTCTTCAGACACGACTAACCTTTACTGTATTAACAATACAACACACAACCATGGTATTATACAATATGATAGCTTATGATTTAATAGAAAATAGATAGTGTACAATGGAGAAACAAGATTTATAAAGTTGACTCTAATAATTGGGTTAAAGACTTTGTTAAGGTGAGTCGTGTTGAGCCACGGTATCATACGGTGCACTAGCATAAAAAAATATTGCAGCAATAAAATCAGTTCATGCCAAAATATCTTATAAAAAAATATACGTTTTTTTGATTTGAATGAAAAGTGCATAAACAAAAGAGATGCTGTGAGAAATTTATCTCTCACGAATATTCTAGTCTTAGAGCGGATAACAACTAGACCGGAGAAGGGATTAATCGAGATGCGCGTAAGCCGATCCGGACACCCTTGACCGTTGAACCAAAAAAAGAAAAAGAAAAAAAAGAAAGAGATGCTGAGGCAGAAAATATCATAAAGAGAATGAAGACACGCATGCTTGACTTATTTGAAAAGCTATATAGCCATGCTAGGGGCTTATCTAGCCAGCTAAAAATGTTGTGCAGGAAAGAGTTGTTCTCTCACGTTTAAGATCATTAGCCACAGCCAAGAAAAGGCCAATGCACAGCTTGCAGTTATCACGTGTAATCTTATCTCCAAATCCATAATTTTACCTAAAAAGTGAAGGAAAACCACCTAGTTAGAGATTTAATTTCCCCCTGATTTGCAAAGAAAGCAACATCCAGCTCAGAGAAAGGTAACCCAATCATAGATACCGGGATCGCAGTTATCCCAGGCGTTTCCACGGCCCTACGTGGGGTGAGTTCGCGATCTACATCCTCAAAATTCCTGACCTCAATTTATAACCCCAATCCACCTGCCCCGGCCCCACTGTGTCCCTTATCTGTCCTCCAGGGGCTATATATAGAGCAGCCATGCCATACTTCTTTTGCACATAAAAAATCTCTCTTCTTTCCATTGCTGTTTGTTATAGCTACTAGTTAATTAGTAGCATTTGCAGTACAGAAATGGCGTCGAATTCGACATGGACTGCTAAAGAAAATAAGCTGTTTGAGAATGCATTGGCTATCTATGACCAGGACACACCTGACCGGTGGCAGAAGGTGGCCAAAGCAGTGGGTGGCAAGACTGTGGAGGAGGTGAAGAGGCACTATGAGATGCTTGTGGAAGATGTCGAGCACATTGAGTCTGGTCTAGTGCCCTTGCCCAAGTACCAAACAACTGGAGGTACCAGCAAAGGATGCAAACACATGGATGAAGAACAGAGGTAACAATGTAAAATTACACACACCCTCCTTGCCATTTTCTTCATAGCTGCTAAGTCCTCTCTCTCTCTCTCTCTCTCTCTTGCAGGCTGAAGTATATGAAGCTGCAATGAAGCAAGTACCAGAAAGCATAACAAGAGGGGTCCATTACATTTACTTGCCAACTCTAGAAATCAAATACAAAATAGTGAATTTTGCCTTTGAATGTCACATTTTCATTTATGCTCTGATACATGTACCAATGAAGAGTCATTGAGAAGAGTGATTCAGAGTTCCTCATAGGCTAATGTTGTAATGGATTTGCATAAAAAATGTTTTATTTTTGTTTTGAATCATCATATATTGTTATTCAACATCCCATATCTAGATTGCAATTGAGAGAACTTCAACTTGCCAAAAACAATGAGGTAAAAATGGACTAGTATGACATGACACTTTTTGTTCATTCCGTCCAGACGCGACATCCTTTCTTATTATGATCTATCTTTCTTTCTTTCCTCTCAGCTATTCGCGTATTAAAATCGTCGTATGTGTTTTTGTGACCAAAAACATGAAATAAAGGAAGTTAGTGATAGTACCACAACAAACTAAGGGGCTCCTCCAACTCATCATAAACCTAAAGGATTTCAGTCGTAATATCCCTGATGACAATAATGAATTGCAAAAATGAAATTGGGTAAAAAGCGTTGAAATTTGCATTTGTTTTTAATTTAGTTTTTGAATTTTTAATTATTCTCACTTTAGTCCTTCAACTATCAATTTTATCTTAATTAAATCTTTTTATTTATTTTTACCGTTCGATCACCAATGCTAAAATGACCAATCCTTTAGTTATTTTCAATTGATCGCTTACACGATAGCTTTTTTATTCTTAATTTATCACTTCATTCTGTCATCAAACACAAAGAACCAATCACCACAAACAATTCAAAGTAAACGAGCAAAATAGCATTGACTTCAAACATTTTTCTATGAAAGCTCCTCCCTAACTAGCACTCTCATTAAATAGTAATAAATATATAATAAATAACGGTCTTGTAGTTTACTCAAACTTCTAAGAACCTTAATGTTCCACGAATGAAGGAATGAATACATCTGATTTGGTAAAATGAATTAGATTGAGCTAGTCTCCAATTGATCTATTAGTAAAAATTGATGCAAAGACTTAGTTAAGATGAAATTAATAATTGATTGACGTAATTAGAATAATTAAAAGTTCAGGAATCAAATTAAAATTGAAGGCAAAGTTTACTGGACTAAACAAGCTAGACTACATTTTGGGTGGAGAAACATAGGGCTTAACAGAAGTTAGGCCTCCCCAGTAACAGCCCAACTCCAATTCAATTATGAAGATCATTACAGCCCAACCAAACTGGCCCATATTTTACTAAATTATACCGTATTTTTTAGGGTTTGTTTGGATGAAATTTTGGAGAGTATTTGGATCGGTTTCTCTAAACCTTTTTAAATTCAAACCCCTTTTTATAAAGATGAAATTTAACATTGAATCTGGTTTATATTCCTGTTTGGTGTGTAACACATATACATATAGAACACATGGATATATCATAATTATTAACAAATATTTATTTTATAAATGACTATTTTACCCTTAATCAATTTAATTTATACTCATGTGAATTGTTAAGAGATATAATTGTCTTTTACATCCTTAACCGCTTAATTCAAATATGGAATTTGTGGATCTTTTAGACTATTTTTCTTAAACTCATTTTGTCAAGTCTCTCCATACCTCTTTACCAAACAGCTTCTAAAAGATAAAAATATTGAAGATAACATAATACCGCATCATCAATATTATGTATTATTATCAATCAATAATAAAATATTAAAATAAATATAGTGGACTTTGCTAAGCCCCTTTAATAACTACTGTTAACTATTTTATTTAAAGACTATCATATTAGAATAGTGTGTGGTCCACTAATTTTATTTACTATTTTATAATTATTTGTTGACAAGATATGGTAATGATGCGGTGTTACGCCCAATAACTACTCCTTCTAGAGGACATAATCACAATTCTAAAGTCAAAAGGTTGGAAAGGCATGTCTTATTTTAGGGAGAATTATATTTCATACCCTAAAAAATTTAAATTTTTTATTTTGTATCATGAAAGATTAGATTTGTTATGTTGTACATTTATTATATTATAAATATTATAATATAATTTTTTTGTTAGCCTGTCAATTACTACATTGACATTAACAGAATGAATAGCAGAATAGAAGACCATATTATAATACTTTTATTAAGTTATAATGTGAAAATTTTAATTTTTAAAAATATAAAATAGAATTTTTAAATCTTTCGAGGTACAAAGTAAATTAATCTTTATTTTTTTTTATTAAAAAAAGGGAGGTCACTTTCCCAAAAAACCTAAGGAAGCAACTAGTGAAGATCATTTAAAGGGGAAAAGCAATCGAGCATCGAAGATCTTTCAATCACTAAAATACAAATAAATAATTAAAATTAACGGAAGGGTCTCAAAAATTTACTCGATTTCTACTCTACTCCTTAAAGTTTCAACTTTGTCAGTATAAATTCAATTTGATTAATAAAAATTGATTAAAAATGACGAATTTTTACTAATCAAAATTTTCATGTAAGCCTGTGATTGGACTGAATTAATTCCATGACCAAAAAGAAGAAGAAAGGATGTAATGGATAAAAAAAAACTTTGAGCGGCCAAATTTGAAAAATAGGTAAAATTTGGAGGTAAAAATGTTATTTATTAAGAGCATTAGACTATAGAGCATCAAACTCATACAGAGTTGTATATACTATATATTCTTCTTCGCGAACAGTGCCATCGGAAAAGTCAGACGGTCCAGAGTCCTCTCTCTCTCTCTCTCTCCCATCTCTCCGATTTCTTCGAAAAATTATCAAATCCAGTTCAATTTAGTTTAATCTTTTACCCCCTACACACCATCGTTTCTAGGGTTAATAATCCACCACCATGGACGGAGGTACCGGCGACAGCGGCGGCGACGGAGGTGGTGGCGCTCCCGTGGGGGTTCAGATCCAGCAGAGTCGGAGACTTCCTGATTTCCTTCAAAGCGTGAATCTAAAGTACGTAAAGTTAGGTTACCACTACTTGATCTCTAACTTACTGACTCTGTGTCTCATACCTGTAATGATTGGGATTCTAATCGAGGTTTCGCAAATGAACCCTGAAGATATTCTCCAATTGTGGTTTCATTTGAAATACAATCTCGTATCTGTTATTATTTGCTCGGCTATATTGGTTTTTGGATCAACTGTTTATATCATGACTCGTCCACGCCCCATTTATTTAGTCGATTATTCTTGTTATCGCCCTCCTGATGATTTGAAAGCTCCATTTAATCAGTTCATGGAGCATTCTAGGCTTACTGGTGATTTCGATGAGTCATCGCTTGAATTCCAGCGTAAGATTGTACAAAGGTCAGGGCTTGGAGAGGAAACTTATGTACCCGAAGCTATGCATTATATTCCCCCAAGGCCGTCCATGGCGGCTGCTAGGAAAGAGGCTGAGCAGGTTATGTATGGTGCTTTGGATAATTTGTTTAATAATACGAATGTGAAACCGAAAGATATAGGTATACTTGTTGTGAATTGTAGTTTGTTTAATCCGACTCCTTCACTTTCGGCCATGATTGTTAATAAGTATAAGTTGAGGGGTAATATTAGGAGTTTTAATTTGGGGGGCATGGGGTGTAGTGCTGGGGTGATTGCGATTGACTTAGCCAAGGATTTGTTGCGAGTGCATAGGAATACTTATGCTGTTGTTGTGAGTACAGAGAATATTACACAGAATTGGTATTTCGGAAATAAGAAGGCTATGTTGATACCCAATTGTTTGTTTAGGGTTGGAGGTGCCGCTGTTTTGTTGTCTAATAAGTCGGTGGATAGGAGACGGGCCAAGTATAAGCTTGTTCATGTGGTGAGGACCCATCGTGGGGCGGATGACAAGGCGTTTCGTTGTGTTTATCAAGAGCAGGATGATAATGGGAAGACTGGTGTTTCTTTGTCAAAAGATCTCATGGCGATTGCCGGTGGGGCTCTAAAAACCAATATCACTACGTTGGGTCCTCTTGTGTTACCAATCAGTGAGCAGCTTCTGTTCTTTGCTACTCTGTTGGTTAAGAAATTATTCAATGAGAATGTCAAGCCTTACATACCAGATTTCAAGTTGGCGTTTGATCATTTCTGCATACATGCTGGGGGGAGGGCAGTGATAGATGAGTTGGAGAAGAATTTGCATCTGCTACCAGCACATGTTGAGGCTTCTCGGATGACTCTCCACCGATTTGGGAACACTTCATCGAGTTCCATCTGGTATGAGCTGGCATATACTGAAGCCAAGAGGAGAATGCGCAAGGGTCATCGAGTCTGGCAGATTGCATTTGGGAGTGGTTTCAAATGTAACAGTGCAATTTGGGAGGCGCTGCAAAATGTGACACCATCTCCTAATGGTCCCTGGGAGGATTGTATCAACAAATATCCTGTTAAAGTAATCTCATAGCTCAACAAGAGGTCGGTTAGACTTACGTTCCTGGTAAGGCTCATGAGTAGCCTAGCCTTTTTTTCTCAGTTTTTGTCCAAGCATGTGTTTTTGGTCTTTTTATTTGGTCATTGGAGTGAAGATATTTTTCCTTTCTTGTTTCTTTGATTTCTTAGGGAGTTAATCTTGTGTGTATTATTTCAAGTTGTTATGATGCATAACTTGGTCCATGTACTTAATTTCTAAGGGCACATTTGTTTTAATAGTTGTTTATCCTACTTTGTGTCATCCATTGCTATCAAACTGCTTCATGTAGATGAAAGCTGCTTGAAAGTACTGGCATTAGATTTAAGTTGAGTGAGCACAGAGAGATTTAATACCTGTGCACAAGGTGTGACTTTGCAACATCAGTATAAAGCGTGAGGCTTTATTCGTTTCATTAAAGATAGGAGGAGGTTTGATAATTTATCTTAATGGGATTGATTTTCACCTTAGCCTGACTGTTGGAGAAAAATACTTGGCCTTTGCACATTAGATATGGCCATCGCTCTTCAAAAGTTAAGACTTCATAAGAAATGAAGAAGTGGCTATTTTTACGAGGCTTTACCTATAGCTTCCTATAAACTATCAAAGATAAAGTGCCAAAGACTCACCTTTATTTTATCATGTATTTTGTCACATAGGAAAGGGAACATCAACACACCCAGGTTGCTGATATCATGAGAAATGAGCTGAATAATTGTACCTATGGGTGAGTCCAAAATGGGACAGGACTTTTGTAGTTTCTGTTGTTTTTTACATCTTTGTGGTGGTGTCACATAATTGAAGTGGGCTGGTACCCTCTACTGCTGTATGAGAGGTCTCACTGGTGGTTTTCTCAGTGAACAAGTTGAGCTACCTGCAATTTGACGTTCCCCTTTTAACGGTGAAGAAGGCAATGGTGGGCCTTAAGCATGGTTAAGAATGTCGATTTGTTCTCCTGCTAATTCTGTCAAATATAGGTCAGGTCACTCTTCTGTGACCAACATATATGCTCAATATCAAATCTGGTGAGCCTCTATAAAATGTTCTTGATGTCAGTTTGGCTACTATGTTTGCTTACCACCTGTCGTTTACTTTCTAAGAGCTCATGATGCTGGTGTGTAGGAAGAACAATATATCTTTGAAGGTTCGCATTGTAATATTAAAAAATAGAAGAGTTTAGACTAATTATTTCTGGTCAATAATTGGTTGATTATCGTATCGCTTTTCTGTGTTACTACATTGCTAAGTTACCTGACATGACCTTAATTTCATATTGAATAGTTAAACATGACCTTTATTTTATACTGAATAGGTGATCTTCTAATTTTGGATCGACTACGTTTTATAGAGAAGTCTTTATTTGTACAGTTGGATTGATTGCTCATGTTTTCTTTTACAAGTTGCGTTCATGTCTACCAGCCACTCACAGGCATTCTATTTTAACTGGCAGCTGTATGGTAGTGACTGGTTAGTGGATGAACTTGTTTGCCATTTTTACTCTCGATGTACAGCGGAAAGGATTGAGAAAAAGGAACTGAAGGGAGATATCATATGGCTCCATGTGCCTGGCATTACACTTTCTGCACCTGTATACATTGTGTGTGTGTGTGTGTGAGAGAGAGAGAGAGAGAGAGAGAGAGACTACAATTGGGAGACAAAAGTCTGTTAATAAATGAATCCCCACTTTGGAAAAAAAAATTTGATACCATACCTAGAAAATTTACTGTTTCAATAAGTATTTTTATAACTTTTGTAGCCAATTTTACAACTAAAAAATTTATAATTTTTGTGGGTGATATGTAATATTTATGGGTGTTTTTATAAGTGTTGTTGGTGATTTTATTATTGTTGTGGTAACTATTGTTTTCGGTAAAAAAAAAATTATTATTTTTGTGGGTAATTTATCACATTTATAAGTATTTTTACTATTATTATGAGTGTTTTTATTATTGTTGTGATAATTTTTTTATCACTTTTTTTTGTATCACAATAATAATAAAAATATTTACAATAATAATAAAAATATTCACAAATTTAATAAATAGATCTATAATACGGATATTTTTTTTTCTGTACCATGGACAACTTCCTGTGGAGACTATTGCTTTGCAAATCGTGCTAGATGATGAGGTTTGACTTTGTAGTCCCAAAATACCCGTGCGATGACATATTGAAACAGTCACCGCAAACTATGGAACCAACCCTACCCCCGAATCTTCCAATGACGGAAATCTTTGTACTACTCTGGACCAACCATTCATAAACATCTGGGGGCATGTTTGGTTGCATTATTAGGTTTTGGTGGTATTATAAATTATTTCTATTCCATTTTATTTAATGGTATATAATACCCGGTCTTGAACTTGTATTTCATCTTTTTTTCTTGTTTTCTTGTTTGATAGGTATTATAATGGGTCCCAAAAATAACATCTATTCTTTTACATCTTATATAACAAATATACCATTTTACCCTTAACATCTTTCATTCCATTTTACCCTTTAACTATCTATACAAGGAAAAAATTTAAAATAATTTTAAAAAAAATCAGTAACACCGTACGCTTAAACATAATATAAGAAAAAAAATTCAAAATAATTTTTTTAAACAAAAATTAAAAACAAAAAAAAAAACCGATAACACTGTACGCTTAAACATAATACAAAAAAAAAATTCAAAATAATTTTTTTAAAAAAATGGTATCATATGCTTGAACATAATACAAAAAAATTTTTTAAATAATTTTATAAAAAAAAATTAAAAAAAAACCGGTGACACTGTACAGTTAAACATAATATAAGGAAAAAATTCAAAATAATTTAAAAAAAAAAATTGGTGACGCAGTACGCTTCAAAATTATTTTTTTTAAAAAAATTTTTAAAAAAAACCGGTAACACTATACAATTAAATATATTACAAAAAAAATTCAAAATAAAATTTTTATATGTAAACTTTTCGCATAAGAGGACATTTGTGTCATGTTACTCACTTATACCGTCCTTTCACTTGTACCGGAAAGACAATACCACCTAATAGGTGATATTGTTTAGTACCATATAGAAGGTATTAAAGTAATTATTCAAACCGGGTCGGTACTATGACCCGAAAAATAAAACCGAGTTAAAAAGTCAAACAAATAAGGTATAAAATAGACCCCAGTACTATTTCCCTAATGTTACCCCTTTGTACCACGCATATCCTCAGAGCAAACAAGCCCCTGAAGTTGTGACAGATCAAGACATGAATCATTGTAACAGTGGTGCCACCACCAAGAACTCAGAGAAGATATAATAGCATTGCCAACAATATTTGCACCAGATATTGAACAATATTTCAACTATAAGAATAGTCTTTACGTGTTACAAGTTTTAGCCATCGACACCAACTATCGCATAAGCCGTTCACTTCTACAATTCAAGATATATTTCAGAAACAACTGGACATACAAAATAAATAATACTAAAATTTATAGGAAGAACTCATGAAGAAGTGGAGTGGTACAACATGAGGAATCCAAATGGTCGTATGCATGGTAAATGAAAATTATAGCTGCTTTATTGTAGTCAATAATTCAAAAAACGTGAACAAGAAAAAAAAATAGAGGAAACGATAGAGAAAAAGCAAACATTACATGTGCACAACATTTGTGGAATCCTGCGAAATGGGAGACAGGACAACGGTAAACATTTTCTCATCATCTGAAGGAAAACTGGATCTCCTCCAGAGTTTTTCCCTTTGTCTCAGGAACCCAAATCGCCACAAATGCCACAGTAATAGCACACATAAGCATGTAGAAGGTGAAGGTTCCTGTTAGTGAAGCAGGAAGGTTCAATCAGTCAGGAAGCAAGAATAATAATAAGGGTGTTAATCCACCAATAATTCAAAGCTGAACATTGCATACAACCAACATCAGATCTATGCCAACTTTCTGTGCTATATTCTGCTTCTGCATGTAGCATGCTCTGGACCGTTGTGCACGTGCACACATGAGCATGCATGCACAGAAATGTTATACACGTAAATATACCCAAGAGAGATGGGCAAACCTCCATTGCTCCAAGATAATAGCAAGGGTGCAGTCATCGTGATCACCCAGGAAGCGAACCAGTTAGCTAACGTTGCCACACTTCCTGCAAGGCTTTTTATTTTTACTGGAAGAATCTGCAAAATTCCAGAGACAGGAACATGGGCCACAGCATTAATCGCAGATCAAAATTCTGTAATTACACTGCACTACAATGCCTATGAAAAGTCTAACTTCATGCGTAACAAATTTGTTCCTTTAAGTTGAGCGTGGTTCAAACTAGAAAATGATCAAATAGAGCCAAAAACACTAAAACAGTGTTAGATATCACATACAAAAAAAATCAAGAGGCAAATTTCTAAAAGTAGGTCAGTATCCAAATTCAAAGTTTAGTTGAGTAGTTGCAAATGGAATGCAGACATATCCACCATAGACACCATGCAGCTTGAAACAGCAACCTACGAATCCAGCCATGGTGAGTGTAACTTGGCTTAAAACATTTATTTTGGAAGTCAATACTGGACCCAGATGAAAGGTTTGCAAGGACCAAGAATTTAAAAAGTTTGGAAGGACCAAAAGCTAAAGACCTAAACCAAAAAGGAGGAAACGGACCACCAGAATTTGCTATTCAAAGAAAGATCCTTTGCCTTCCCTTTGTGTATATGGATCCAAAAGTTTCATTTTCTTTTGTTGATTATTTCTTAAGTTGTTATTCAGTGTTTAGATATATTAAGCAAAATCAATAACAGGTGGCATTTGGTTTGTGCTTTCAAAAAGCCCCTAAAAAATGATTTTTTACTTCGCCTTGCTAAGATTTGCTCTCTTCCGCCAGCAATTTGTAACTCTTCGCCCAACCATAATCGCATGGATGGTTGCTTGTTCACCAAGATGTACATATATTACTTACAAAAGTCATTGAACAAGCTTTCACATTTTTTATACTTAAGATTTTAATCAAAAAAGCAATAAAAACATGAAGTAACTTCTACTCATTGAAAAAACTTCTAAGAAGTGTTACTAAATGGAGCCTCATGAACTGAAAAATCACTTTTTAGTTTCCTCTGCGAACAAATGATGAGGTCCCCCCTCCTCCCCCAACAGAACATAAACAACCCAAAAAACCAAAACAAGAGTAGAAAAGAAAATAAAAAAAGTAGCAGTGCTGTTGTTTTAATCATGTCCGTGGGCATGCATGAAATGAACAAGCAAATTCACCAAACTGGAGACACAATATGAAATTACATGGTAAATCATATATGTCTACCTCAGACATTATAATCCATGGGATGGGCCCCATTCCAAGAGAAAAGGTGACGATCATACCCTGAAAGAAAAAGTGGGTAAGAATTACCAAGGAATTGAAGCAATGTAAATTAAAGAATTGTCGTATACTTGGGTTACAATCAGAAGACATACCACTACCCCAACTACAGATAGAATGCCCATTACACTGTAGACATTAGAACTATCGGAGACAAAATCCTGAGATCAATTTGAATTGCAAGAAAAAATTTGAGGGTGTCATTCGCATATAAGAAACATGAAGTATTTTTGAATGATTCATCACCTCTACAAAATATGTGGGTTGTGAATTCAATGGTTGAAGATAAGGACAAAAATATCCATGGGAATACTACCTTCACAAAAAATGAAACTGCAACAACTAGGAGGCTAAGAGCCATGCCAGAGGAGGAGACCTGCAACCAGAGAACAAACAGATTCCTTTTTCAGCTAGTCCGGGGAGTTAATGTCATCTGGACTACATAAAAAGACTAGTTCGCTACTACTCACAAGAAGTAAAAGCCTACGGCCTGTTTTGTCCACCAACCATGTAGCAACTGCAGTGGCAATAACCTAAACAGTGCAGAAATTCTTGTAAATTAGTTGAGAAGGAAAAAATCTCATGTCGTATTAGAGTTCTGGAATAACAAAACAAATTTGCAAGCAATCCTTTGAGATATACCTGGACCGCACCAAGCGCACATGTAGCAGCATTACTTGATGAAATCCCTGGTCAAATGAGGCAACTTATAAGAGCCATCCAACTTGAACTGAAATTAAGATTTTTTCCTTCCACATAATGGACACCAAAATGACAAATGTAAATAAATAAGAGAAACATCCGACCTGATGTAATAAATTAACGTTTTACAAAATCGGAAACTATTTAGCAAGACAATTAGCAGGTTGTGGACTATTTCAGGGCAGGTTGCTAGTTCTTTCAGCAATAGTTGATGAAATAGTATCAGAGGATTAGAAGACAAACTCATGACAGGATGTCAGAACATAGTTGGAGAAGTTTAAGAATAAAGACAGTAGCTTGCAGCAAGGAGCTGTTCCTTAAAGATTAGAAGTAAACTTCTAATCCTTTAGAAAAAAATTAAGAAGCTCAATTGCCCTTCCAACATTTAGAGCATTTGTGCACTACAACCAAAAAAATGCATTAGCACAAACATGAAAACCCGTGATACTAACCAGCAGCTTGAAAAATAGTACTGGCATAGAAGAGTACACCATTAGTCCCACTTAGTTGCTGCAGCATAAGTAATCCGATTCCTATCTGCCAAATTTCAAGATTAAAGGTTACAGAAAAATAATTCAGTATGGTGAGTTAAAATGTTCAAGTTGACAGTATAACCTAGACATAAGAAATTTAAAACTACTGGTTGACACAAATACCATCAAAGGTAGCCAATATCTTCTTAGTTTCAGGTCCGCAAAACGGATTGCAGTTCTTCTGTTTGTTGATGATGCTACAGACCTCTGCACGATGCAAAATGTTTCACTAAGAACATCAGCAAATAGCACATCACAAACAAATAATTTTCGGAAATCGATGCGGCAAAGATATTACATATATAGCGTTCAAGCTCATCAATGGTTTTCCACCAGGAAATTGCTCGTATTAATGACAAAGATTACTGTTTTAAGTAAGTACAATTATGATTTGGTGGTCATTTGAAATAAGGAGATTTGCCTTGATTTCATTAACTTCAAGAGAAATATCAGCATCAAACCCCCGAAGAACTTGCAAAGATGCTTCAAAATCATCCGTCATGCCCATTTTTGCCTACATTCAACAAAGAAATTTTGCAACAGTACCAAAAATCATATATCCACTAATGAACCAGGGAAGAAGTTATGAAGCTCACCAACCAACGAGGAGATTCTGGAATAAAAAATAGTCCAGGAATCAATATTAGACAAGGTAATATTCCTGCCCAGAAAATATAGGAACTTCTGTCAATCTATTGATGCTTAAATCAAATTCCTCACGGTGGTGTTCATGCACATGAGAACTGAATGCTGAATGGCAGGTGATTTTTGTGTATCTAATGTGCTGGTCCAATGCAGTAAAAAGAAAGTCCGACACCCAATTGATAGTTGCTGACTATATCCAAGAGAAAATGTTAACCAGGTTTGAGGTGGAACAAGCTTTGGAAAAACAATTCTTTCAACACAAATTCTTGGTTGCAGACCTAACCCCAAACTGACCTTAGGATCAAATTTGGCTTCTCTCCATAAAAATGTTATATGATCAGAATTCAAAGCATCTGTCCTCGAATCACGACTCATCAACAAATCAGTAAAACACATCAAGGTATGCGGTACTGCTAACTACAAGGGTATAAGGTTTGTTAAAATCAAGGCAGATCTCGTATACTGCATCCCCAAGGCAGTGCAATGTAGGTGGGAAATCATATAAAATTCCATCCATTAGGAAAACGAAAATAACATGATAAATTATATCCATAGGGGTAGAAAACTAAAGAAAGTCTTCTTGAGGGTTACCCAGAACTGCAAGTGCTCTCCAATTAACAAAAAGCCCCAGCAAGTATGACAGCATTATTCCAATAGTGACAGAGAGCTACACAGCAAGATGGAAAACTAAATCCAATTGATTATTGAAGTCTATGAGGTATAATAGCAACACTAGCTGGGATATGAGGAACTCACTTCACTCAGCCTACCTGGTTCACTGAACCCAGCCCCCCTCTCATGTTTTGCGGTGCAATCTCAGCAATATACACAGGCACCTATGATTAAGCCAAGAAAAGAATATATAGTTACAATACTGTGATTATACTTGAAGCACAAGTTCTATTATGAGAAAACTTCATGAAAGGTTATTAGCCACCGTGTAAGAGATTATTCCCACACCAAACCCTTCCAACAACCTTCCCATGTACAGAAATGAAGAATCCTAGGAACAACAACAAAAAAAAAACAAAAAAATGACCGTAAATAGAAGTTCATAAAGGCACTTTACAAATGAATGAATACAAGAGAGAGGCAAATGTTAGAAAGCTCACTCTGGCAAATGATATGGCAAGCCAGCCAATGATATTAGGGATTGCTGCGATCATCAAAGACTGCAATTTAATAGAATTAAAAATCACTTGCTAAAATCTAAACATGTCTAAAAATCCACCAAAAGCATTTCACACGATCATTGGGAAATAAAACAATCATACCCCTTTTCGCCCAATATACTCGGCAATCTGACCGCTAGCTACTGCCCCAACCATAGCACCCACATTAGCCAAAGAACCGAACAAAGAGAACTAGAACACGATATTTGCAGTTAGTAATGATTCTCAACGAAGCCAATTGAAATTCAAAACAATAAAGATTCATACGGACCTCGGACACAGTAAGTTTAAGATCTTTGGTAATTGCAGACTGGGTAGGCGAAGAATAACCACTCTGCAAGCACCATCAAGAAACCGAAATGCATCGATATATCGCACATATACACATGAGAGAAACTCAAGAAGCACATCGAAATCAATTTGGCTACTAAGAGACCGTGGAAAGCAAAAGGAGACTTGAAGTACATTTTCGCTTTTAGAGGCTCAACTGTTGAGAATCAAATAACTTGAGCCCCAATAACTGTACAAACCATAAAAACTGAATTGAATCTTCTCATTTTTAGGGTGCAATTTATAGGTTTTTAAAATTTCCGTTTCTGGGCGACCAAGCAGAGAATTGAGCAGTTAAGAAGAAGAAAAAGATTGAGAAAGAGTGGAGCAATACAGTGAAACCAAACTGGATAGGGCCCAAGGCGACGATCAGGACGCAGGCGAGAACAGATATAGAATTGTCACGGATAACCTGAGACGAGGTCATCATACTGGATTGCCTCGAACCCATTCTGTACCAACTTCCCGTATGAAGAAATGGCTTCCTGAGATCTCCCCTCCCATCGTCGTTCTCTTCTCTGAAACTCATAGCTACCTCTCTAAAACTCAGCTCTTTGCCCCTACAACCGTATAAAATCAGAAAGAACAGCGTCGCAATTCTACACAACGAGCCTCTATATTACGTTTGCAACAATGTGTTCGACGAATTGCCCCCGAGAACGATTAGCTGAAAAAGTTTCGAGAGAAGTGGAAAGAAGAGGGAGTTTCGGAAAGGACGGTGGACTTGGACAAATAACAACCATGACGATGAAGGTTGGAGTAATGATTGACGTAGGATTTGCGAGCTTTCGTGTCGTCTCGCATCATGTATGTGTGGCTGCCAAACTCTTGCTAAGCTGTTGTTGGCTTCCGCGTAGAGGCAAAGGAGAAGCAGACTAAAGCACCAAAATGGAATATTTCGATACCACTGCTACGATGAACAAAATTACAACATTAATAAAAAATTTATAATATTAATTAATATAATTACCATAACAGTAGAAAATATTATAACATTAATGAAAGTTTTATAATAATAATAGGCAAAATTATAATATTAATGGATAATTTATTATAACAATGGGCACAATTACTACAATAATGGATAAATTTTTACCACCATTTGAAGTACCAAAATTGTATCGTGGGTTTGTGATTGATCACTAATATTGACCGATTGATCAGTGAAAAAATTACAACATCAGTAAAAAAATTTACAACAGTAGTAGACAAATTTACAATATCAATGAAAAATTTATAACATTAGTAAAAATTTTACAACAACAATGAGTAAATTACAACAGTAGTGGACAAACTTTAATCAATATGGTGGTAAAAGTACAATTGACAATTTTAATCACATTTGTCGTAAATATAACACTAGTGATTCTCACTGATGTCGTAAATTTACCTTTAAGTTTGTATTATTATCCACGGTTCTCATAACATTAATCAAAATTAAAGTAAAAATTATATATATACTAATAACCTTAACTACAATTATTCTAAACTTACAATATTTGTGGAAAAAATTACCACAACAGTGGACAAAATTACAACATCAATAAAAATTTTATAACATAGTGAGAAATTTACAACAATAGTGAAAATTTTACATAATCATTGTATTTAACCCTGAATTATAGTAAATTTTCCCTTTGATGTCATAACCTTTCCCCAATTGTAGTAAATTTATTCACCATGGTTTTAAAATAACCTTTTTTTGTCATAAATTTATCCTTAATCCTCGTAATGTTACCTATAATTGTCATAATATTAATCAAAACAGTGGTAATATTAATTAGAATAGTCGTAAATTAATCTCTAAATTTATAAATTAATCCACAATTGTTGTAAATTTACCTTCAAAGGTAATAAATCTATCTTTAATTGTGATAAATTGCCCACAGTTTTGTTAAATCTCACTCTAGTAACTTTGTAATCGATTATAGACAATTGTGATCGATCTTAAACTTACAATTTTTCAAAAAAATTAAGTCAACGATACTTGTGATCAATCATATTTTTGGGATAAATCTATTCAAGTTGTAAATATTGTCATAAATTTGGTAGGCAATCCATTGCAGTTGTAATTATTCCTACAAATTTGGTAAACAATTCACTGAAGTTGTAAATATTTTCACAAAAAATTTATTGAAGTTGTGAATATTCCCATAAGAGTAGTAACTGATCCATTGAAGTTGTATATCTTCTTGGATTAGTTGTAAAATATTTATAAATTAAGCACACATATGTGTGTATTGATTGATCGATCATATTTAATGATCGATCATGGACTATTAAATATCGTAAAAAATACTATTAAATTAGTAAATAGTGCTCCCCATTAGTAATTTGGTCTACAAAATAGGTATATCTTCTTCGATTACTTGTAAATTACTAGCAATGCACACGTGCGTTACACGTGAAAAAAAATTTAGTTCATTAATTTGTTATTAAATTTATTTAAAATACAAAGTTGATGAGTAATAAAATTGAATTATTTTTTATAAAGGTAAGTGTATAATTAAAATATCAAGAAAAAAGACACGTAATCTTTTAACCTCAAAATTTGATAAATTACAACCAATAAATGATAAAAATACTCAAAAACATGATAGAGGTACATTAACGATTTTTTTTTTGGGTGTTGTACTTAACTTTAACTATTTTTTTTAAATATTTTTTCTTATAGTTAGAATAATGAATTTTTGGAAATACAATTTTTATTTATAATGCTATAATAGAATATAAGTAACGAAAAATTAAGTTTAATAAATTTGATTACAAAGTATTAAGATTTGGACAAGCTTTAAAAATATTAGTTATATGAGCAATGAAAAATTGAATTCACGAGAGGTTGTAATAAAACTAAAAAACATTAACATAGAAAATTTTAACGTAAACATAGAAATTAATAAACTAAAACATATCAATTAATAAACTAACTTCAATTATGTCAAATACTTGACCTGCCACACCAATTTAATAAACTAATCTCAATTATTATACTGAATACTTGACCTTCCACGCTAATCTCTTAGAAAATTGCTTACATTAAATTAAAAAAAAAATTAAGTGCCACAAAATATAGGAATTAACATAAACATATAAATTAATAAACTAAAATATAAGAATTAATAAACTAACCTCAACTATGCCGAATATTCGACATGTCACTCCAATTTAATAAACTAACCTTAATTATTATGCCAAATATTTGACATGTCACACCAATCTCTTAGAAAACTGTTTGACATTAAATTAAAACAAAATTAAGTGCCTTAGAACATAGAAATTAAAAAACTGAAAAAGAAGAATTGATAAACTAACCTCAATTGTGCCGAAAACTACAACTACGACTTCATTGAGTTTGTCACGGAAGAGCATGAGACCATAGGACTTCAAATAAATGACTATGGTAGGCCAACTTCTAACTAACGTGAATGGAAGAAAAAATATATGTATATGTATCACCTAAAAATTATCAATGTATAGTATTAGAATTCTAGTAAAGTTTGCACAATTAAATGAAAAAGAAAGAATATATATATATCACCTAAAAATTACCAATATGTGGTATTAGAATTTTAGTAGAATTTGTATAATTGAATGGAAAATAAAGAATGTAAATATTTGTATATGTATCACCTAAAAATTATTAATACGTAGTATTAGAATTCTAGCAGAGTTTGTATAATTGAATGAAAAATAAATAATGTATTGTCATAGATATAAAGTTTATCTATTAAGTCATAGAGATAAAATTTATTTAGCTAATATTTTGATAAAATTTATCTAAGTAGTATTTTGATAAAGTTTATCTACCAAGTCATAGAAATAAAATTTATCTAACTAATATTTTGGAAGTCAAGTAGGTATGAAAGACAGAAAAATTTGTGGGTATAATTAGATTTATGACAACAATTAAGGGTGAAATAAGAAATCAAAAGTTTTTCACACATTCTAACATTTATAAGTAATATAGATTTACAAATTAAATACAACTCTCGTAAAAAATATTTAAAACTCACAAAAAAAATTTGACAATTCTCTTAATTATTACCTTCATTATAGTAACAAAACCTTTAATATAGTAATTATTTACACAAATGTGGTAAACAATTCACTGAAATTGTAAATATTCTTATAAATGTCGTAAAAAATTCATTGAAGTTGTAAATAATCCCATAAATTTAGTAAACATACCACTGAGATTGTAAATATTCCCAAAAATTTAGTAAATATGCCACTGAAATTGTAAATATTCTTACAAATTTGGTAAATATACTATTGAAGCTATAAATATTTCCTTTATTATGGTAACAAAATTACTAGTAATCATAATGTACTATCTGACATGTCATTTCAATGCCTTGTCTTGTCTACCAACTGGTATCTAAGAGGTAACTCATTGAAGTTGTAAATAATTTCATTAATTTTGTAAACATACCACTGAAGTTGTAATTATTTTAAAAATTTGGTAAACATACCACTGAAGTTGTAAATATTTGCACAAATTTGATAAATATATCACTGAAGTTGTAAATATTTCATTCATTATGGTAACAAAATTACTAGTAATCATGATATACTATCTCATATGTCATTTTAATGTATTGTCTTGTCTACCAACCGGTATCTAATAGGTAATCTATTGAAGTTGTAAATAATCTCATAAATTTAGTAAACATACCACTGAGGTTGTAATTATTTCCACAAATTTAAAAATTTTGGTATGGTATCGAAAATTCCCTTGGATGTACCGTAGTCTACTCCCAGGTTTGAAGTTACAAGGCTGCAAGGGATGTAGGGGCTAACAATGGAAGAACTCTCTCCATCTCCCTCTCCCTCTCCCTCTCCCTCTCCCTAGCTAGTGCTAGCAATGCTGTCAATATATCAATTTAATAAGTACATTTGATTTGATTGTGATGTATAACATGCAGTAATTCATGCTTCTTTGTATTTCTAAAATTGTGTCTCCCTCTTCCTCTCCTTATTGCTAGCAATGCTGTCAGTATATCAAGTTTATGGAGTACATTTGATTTGATTCTGGTATATAGCATGTAGTAATTCAAGCTTCTTTGTATTTCTAAAATTGTGTCTTGATATTTGTCGTTGCCATCTAATTGATTTGAAAGCAGGAGTAGTAGGTAGGCCTATATGTATGTCTGTATGATATATATATATATACTAGTCACAACTCGTGTCTAAAAGACACAATAAAATATAAAATTTGAGTGCATAAAAAATTGATCTTGATGATACACAAAATGGTTTTGCACACCACCTGTTAAGTGTGAATAATAAATGCAAGAGTAAAGTAAGGAGATGGAGAGACACAAGCAATTTATAGTGGTTCGGTCAACGTGATCTACATCCACTTTTGAATAGCCTTAGTCGCATGGTACTTTATTAGCTCAAGGGTATGAGGAGCAGAGAGTACAAGCTTTGAGGGAAAGGAGAGAGTCGTGCTCAGGTAAAGTGTGATGCCATGCCCCCTAAGTGTTGGTGGAGCTTACAATTTATAGTCGCCCTTCTAACAGATTTGGGCAAGGTGTTAGCAACTAACTGGTTTAGTTTGTTGGATCTGACGAGCTTTTCTCAACGTGCGAGGCAGATACGTGCTCTCTATAAGATTCGGTCAAAGGATGAGGTGGGGTGTTGACCATCTCCAGGATAGCGAGGATAAGGTTTTGGATGACTTTGCTTGCTCCCTTAGCTCCTTGAGCTGCTGAGCTTGACCGGGCTGACCACACTGATAAGCTTGACCGGGTTGACAACACTGGTCTGGATTCACTGGATCTTTTGGAGTCAGACTATAA